ACAACTCAAACTCTTGGATCTACTTATTTCTCCCAGGCTTTAGGGTAAAGATATAAATAACATCATGACAAGCAACCAAAACTACTCAGGCTCCAAAGCACTACCTCACCAACACTACTGCTTTAAAGGATTTGTTCCAGAAGCATACAGTAACTTTAGAAAGGGGTATGTCACACTTAGTATGAAATTGGTATGATGTGTGTATCATATGATCATATGAAGCCTTCAGAAGTTACCAAGATTAAAGAACAAAGACAGGGAAATTTTACAAGGAAATAAAACCCTTATTCCACTAACCTCCTTCCCTTAGCAAACTTGAATAACTGTAGCTAGTGAAACAATTATAAATTATAATTTTGATCAGCCAAGTAATTTAAATAGAAATTACCTCTTCTCTAAAGTTTGTATATTTCATTCTTGGTAGAGAATTCATTATTTTAATAATTTTTTTCTTCCAGAAGGAAACAATGAGATTAATTTTGCATGGCTGATATGTATTTAAGATAGTTTTAAAATTAATACCACAGCCCTGGCAGGTGTTGTTTGGTGGTTACAGCATTGGCCTGCACACTGAAAGGATGCGGGTTCAATTCCCGGTCAAGAAAATGAACATGCGTTGTAGGTTTGAACCCTCATCCTGGTTGGGGCCCATGTCTCACATCAACGTTCCTCTCCCCCACCTCTTTCCCCTTGCCTTCCTCATTCCCTCCCTTCCACTCTATCTAAAAGCAAAGGAAAAATAACATCAGGTGATGATTAACAAAAAAATGAATGCCACAGGAGGTCTTTATTCATGGAAAATAAAATTGTTTCAGAGAATACATTGGATAGCCATTAGATGTTTTCCCTACATCTTTTCCATGTTAAGCTTACTTGATGATGTAGCTCAGCTCTTAATAATGTAAAATTTTTTTGATGTCAATAAAAAAAAGACACATATTAATTCATAGGGGAAAGAAATGAATACACAGACACATGATCTTTAAGATGTTGATAGACCCTTTGTAATACTTTAAGCAATAAAACAATTAAAAAAATAAAGAAATAAAGAAAAAACTCTGATAAGAGAAAAAAAAAAAGATGTTGATAGATGGTCATTAATCCTTCTAGGAAGGTTAAAACGGTAAAGCCCCAAGTGAAAATCTGCAACATTTTCTTTAGCACAAGGTCTGTGACAGATGAAAAATTCATTCTATTTCAGCCCTTGTTAATAAAATGCACTACTTATACATCTGTAAAACTAAACCTCTAGTGACTGACTTTCTGTACTGTAAATCAAGAAAAAGTGTACAGAAGTGTAGCCTTGGGAGTAAATGACCTTGAGATATTTATTCATTGGATTATCTTACTTTTAAAGTAGTATCATTTTGAAGAAAGTAAAGGCCTATGCTAAATAAATGTCTGTCCCTTTGTGCAAAAACCTACATAACAAAATATTTTATGTTAATAAAATGTTATAATTCCCATACAATATGAGCTACAAGGGACATTTACTTTATATATTTACCAACTAGTAAAAGATATAAATGGAGATTGTCATGCTTGTATCACTTAGCTATTGCTGATAACAAACCTCAACAAAACTCAATGGCTTATAACAATAGTCATTTATTACTAGAGTTAACATGTCTATGAGTCTGCTAGAGGTCAGCTCAACTCAACTGGGCTCGCCTATGCATCTGCACATAGGGATTCTGCTCTAGGTTGGCTTTAGCTGGGACAACTCTGCTCCAGTATATTTCATCTTCCTCCTAGGACCAGCAGGCTAGTCTAGGCACAACTTTCTCCTGGTCTTAGCAGAATTACTAGAGAGAAAAACTTAAAATACACCATCACTTTTTCAAGTTTTTGCTTATATCATGACTCTAGCATAGTAATATGACCTAACACAGATTCAGTGGAAAGGGAAGTATATTCTGCCTCTTGATGGAAGGAGTGGTAAACTCACCTGGAAAAGGGTGTGGCTAACAAAGAGAGGTAAATAATGAGGGTCATTAAAGCAATCTACCATATAACTGATAAAAGCCATGGAGAATAAATGGGATGAATATAAAGTCTACAAAGCAAACTCTCAAATATTTAGAAAATACTGGAAAAGCAGATAATTTTTTTTCTTAGCCTTATTTATAACAGCTGCACCAAGCCTTACTTGTCTATATATGTATATCCTCTGGGTAAAAACTAATATAAGTCATTTTGACCAATAAATGGTAGGGTTAGAATTCAAATCCAAGCAAATTTTATTCAAAAATCCAATATTCTTAACTACTCTGCTACACTGTCTTTCATGATTCTGAGTCTACAGATTTAAACTTCTGACACTATTAAATGCTTCTGTCCTGATAACCTTTGTGTCTACATATTAATGTCATAGTAAAAGCTTCAACTGGCACTAGAAGAGAAAAATCTCTAAAAAGTTTATGAATTGGAGTTCTGTTAACATATCTACTTTATATAGATTATTTTATAATTTTTTATCCAAATCAAGATACTTTGGGGGATAAAGGGAGTACTGTCATTATTATATACTGAGGCCCAGTGCACAAAATTTGTGCTTGGGGGGTGGGACGTCCCTCAGCCCAACCTGTACCCTCTTGCAATCCGGGACCCCTCAGGGGATGTCTGACTGCCAGCTTAGGCCCAACCCTGTGGGATCAGGCCTAAACCAACAGTCGGACATCCTCTTGCAATCCGGGACTGATGGCTCCTAACTGTTCACCTACCTGCCTGTCTGATCAACTCTAACCACTCACCTGCCTGCCTAATCACCCCTAACTGCTCACCTGCATGCCTGATCATCCCTAACCACCTCTGCCTGACTGCCTGATCGCCCCTAACCACTCACCTGCCTGCCTGATCACCCCTAACTGCTCACCTGCCTGCCTGATCATCCCTAACCACCTCTGCCTGACTGCCTGATCACCCCTAACCACTCCTGCCTGATAGCCCCTAACCACACTGCCTGCTTGCCTGATCGCCCCTAACCACTGGCCTGCCTACCTGATCGCCCCTAACCACCTCTGCCTCAGCCTCTACTGCCACGGCTTCATCTGGAAGGATGTCTGGAATGATGTCCGGAAGGTCATTCGACTGTCCAGTTAATTAGCATATTATACTTTTATTATTATAGATTACTGCATAGCAAATTACCCCAAAAATTAGCAGCTTAAAACAATAAATATTCATTATCTCACACACTTTCTCAGGGCATAAATCAAGGAGAGGCTTAGCTCAGCAGTTCTGTCTCAGGGTGTGTAATGAGGTTACAGTCAAGATATAGACCCAAACTATAGTCAGCTGAAGGTTTAACTGGGCTGCACAATATGCTTCTAAGCTATAAATGGCTGTTGGCAGGAAACTTCAGTTCTTCATAAGAACTTTTCCATGAAAACTGACAAGACATCAGGCTTCCCTGAGGGTAAATGAGAGAGAGAGAGAGAGAGACAGAGAGACAGAGAGAGGAGATATGAATCTCAGAAATAACAATCGGTTTTGCCTTATTCTACTGGTCAGACAGGCCACCTGGTGCAATGTTGGAGGAAATATGGACACTGGGAGGCAAGGATCATTGGGCACATCTTAGAGGATTGCTACCTCAGGTGCTATTAATAACAACTAGCCAGGACAACAGGTATAAATGAGGACAGTCCCAGACAAATGAAGGTTTATGGTCACCTTACCTTTACTCACCTTACCTTTATCACATTAGAGAGTAATTTTCTATCTATAAAATTATTTATTTCTATGACTAAGTTCCTAAAATTCCATAATAATTGCCACAATCCTGCCCTCCTCACTCCCACCAAATTCATCTCATGACATTGCTGTGGAAGCCATTAGCAGTGAACAACTAGTGGTTTCCAACAAGTTCCCTTCTCTTCTATTGCAAATACTGGATTGTTGCTCCTCTCTGTCCCTCACCATTTCACCCAGGCCCTCCAAAATTCATATGTATGTCTTCAGAAGTCTTGGAGGTTCATGAATAATAAGAGTTCCAGGCTCCTTGCAAAACATTAATAATATTAAAAATAAAGTACTCTACAATTTAAATAGTCTTGATAAGACTAACCCTGAAATTATAACCATAATATTTTCTTTTTTTAATTAAATCACTTTATTTCATGAAAAAAATTTAGATGGACTGAACAGAACAACACCTTTTAAAAAAATAAAATGTTTATCTTAGGAAATTTGCTTCACTAAAACCATGCTGTAAATAAAATTCATCAAAATAATTACCTTGCTCAACACTTCATTCTAAAGTGGTATAGAGATTTAGTTCTGGTTTAGAGAACCAACCAGTCATTTTGTGAGAATAAACTCTGGCAAACTTACCCCTATTTATGTAAGAATTTCATTTGTTTATAATTTAGAAACTAGTTTCATTTTAAGCATCTATCCCCCAAGTATTGTTTTTAAAATGAATTGTCAAATTTCAATTTTTAACAAGCCCTTTTGGGCTAGCAATAATACCCCTTATCAAATCAGCAGCTGATTTGCACAGAAATTAATAGTTTAATTATTCTTTGAGAAGTTGTCTTTTTAAAAGAAGCATTAGAATAACTAGCACTGTTATTGGTCCCCACTGTTTTTGGTTAACAGGTTAAATGACACACACAAATAACACACCCTAAAAAAAACCAAATATTTATGCCATTAATCTAAATAATTCCCTGATTTTATATGCAAGAGAATTTATATTCAAGAGGCCACTTGAATGAAGACCATTCTTATATTTGTATCAATCTGGCAATTTAAAAAGTTTATCCCAAGGTTTTCCCTAGAACGAGGACTGGCAGGTTTAATGCTTCTGTTCTAAGTCATGCTTATTACAAAACTGCAAAATTTGAGTTCACTCCCTTTCTTTCTCATCAAAAACTGACTTTACCCTAAAGACACCAACAATGAATTATGTACATGAGGCCACATGTCACTCAACATGAACACTCATGGTTATTTGCAGGAAAGTTTTAAAAATTGCTCAAAATGTTTTTGATGTGGTTCCAAAATCAAGTTTCAGCTGAACAATTTTACTAATGTACCTAGTAGTTTTAAATGTGTAATATAAATTTGCAGGGAAACAAATGGTGTCATCAGGTTTTACTGTGAGCTACAAACCTTACCCAGCCAGAAACCTTTGTATTTAAGATGGTAGGAAAGACATTCCTCAATTAGGCAAGAAGGGTTCTCATTCAACCCTTCTCTGCTGAGTTTTTAGAACCTTCTGCTAGCATATCCACCACTTCCACCACCAGATCCATATCCACCACCATAGGGGCTGCCCGAGCTTCTTCCACCAAAACTGCCTCCCTTCATGGGTTTATAATTTGATTGCTGTTGTTCACTGTAATTTCCAAAATCATTATAGTTTCCACCTCCACCATAGTTACCACCAAAATTTCCCCCTTCATTGTAACCATCGTCTCCACCACCGCCACCATATCCACCACCCTGGTTTCCATATCCGGGTCCACCACCACCATAGCTTCCTCTACTGCTATAACCAGGACCACCACCATCGTTGCCACCATCACCTCCAAATCCATTATATCCACCATCACCTCCTCCATAATTACCTCTGCTGCCACCTCCACCACCATCGCCTCCTCTTTGTGATCCAGCAGACTGCATTTCTTGTTTGGAAAGGGCCTTTTCCACTTCACAATTATGCCCATTAATAGTGTGGGATTTCTGAACAACAATTTTATCACCTATATCATGATCATCAAAAGTTACAAAAGCAGCCTAATAGGTTTGACTCAGTGAATAGAGCGTCAGTCTGTGGACTGAAGGGTCCCAGGTTCGATTCCGGTCAAGGGCATGTGTCTTGGTTGCGGGCACATCCCCAGTGCGGGGTGTGCAGGAGTCCTGCAGCTGATTGATGTTTCTCTCATGGGTGTTTCTGATTCTCTATCCCTCTCGCTTCCTCTCTGTAAAAATCAATAAAATATTTTTTTTTTAAAAAGTTACAAAAGCAAATCCTCTTTTTTTCCTACTCTGCCTGTCCTCCATAACTTCTATGATTTCAATCTTGCCATAGTTTTCAAAGTAGGCTCTCAAATTATATTCTTCTGTATCTTCTTTAACACCACCAGCAAAGCTTTTCTTCACTGTTAAATGGGCACCAGGCTTTACAGAATCCTCTCTAGAAACAGCTCTCTTTGGTTCCACTACACTCCCATCAACCTTGTGTGGTCCAGCACACATTGCTGCATCCACCTCTTCAACACAAAAATAAGTCACAAAACCAAATACCAGGGAACATTTTGTTTGGGGGTCTCTCATCACCACACAATCTGTGAGTGTGCCCCATTTCCACCACTTAAAATGTTCTCTTAAACTGTCATCTGTAGTTTCAAAGCTCAGACCACCAATAAACAGTTTTCTCAACTGCTCTGGTTCCTTAGGATCATGGCCCTCCATTTTGAGACCCGACTCGCCTCTTCCAACTCGAGTTTAATATGGGACCCCATAATATTTTCTATGATAGATCAATCTACCGGGGAGGGAAACACTAAAATCTAAACAGGATTTACTAATAATTATTGGCGTTTCCTACCCTGGGCATTTTTGTTCAACAGTTAATTTGACCATTATGTTATCTTAATAACTTCAAAATGAACTTGGCCCTGGTGCTAAAGTCAACTCTAACTCACCTTCTAAGTTTTTATAGAACAAGTACTAAAGCAGAGGCAACATGTCTAGGTTAAGGGTTTGGTTATTAAGGTTAATTGATTCTACTTTGTTCTGGAATATATAACACTAAATATTAAGCAGATCCAGCTATACCTTGATACAAGACAAAAAGAAAAATAATAGTGAATGGTACCATATTATTATTTATTAAAACTGAGTTAAGTAAACCAAGCGAGAAAAACAATCTTTTGCTCCAATAACCATTGAAGTACAGGCAACAAAAATAAATAATTGTAGACATTAGAATTATTCAAGAGAAATTCAAACTATTCTTTTTTACCCTGTGCATATTACTATCTGTTCAGAGGTGAGCTCATTAAAGCTCGAGAATGTAATGGCTGTCTCAAATATAACAATAACCTTCAGCATACCATAGTCAGAGTGGTAGTTTGGGAGTCAAGCTTAAGAGACCAGAGAGTCCATTCATGATTCAGTGCCATCAATATGTTGTTATGCTGAGAAAAGAGAAAGAAATTGATATTGAGAGAGAGAAAAAAAAACAAGCAGAGACTATACCTCTTTCCTCTTAATTGTTTGTTCAACCTCATGACAGGGATCAAGCACTAACTAGAAGAAGAATGAAAATGACTATATACTTCCCATGAAAGTCAAGCAAGAAACAAGAGGGTGGTGAAGGCCTAGGGCAGGGGCGGGGGAAACTAGAAGGGGTCAATGGGGGAAAAAGTGGAGCACATGTAATATTTTCAATAATAAAGATTAAAAAAAGAAAAGAAACAATGAGCTGGGAGAAATAGAAATAAAGAAGTTTACTGATGTCTATCATGATTCATAAAATTTCCAGAACATCTTGACAAGCCCTGTTAGTAAGGATAAAGAAATTTGTTTGACCAAGATACATTAAATTGCTTTCCTTCTTTCTCCTTTCAGTTGTGTTGGGAAAACAAGTTGGTTGCTATTTTCTAATTTTTTCCCCTGTTGATAGTATATCTTTCCATAATTTGTAAGTACAGATCCTTCTTCTCCTTTCAGTTTTAAAACAAACCTCCTGGCATTTGAAGCTGACTTCGCCTTGCTGAAGGCTGGGTAATTCCTCAGACAGTAGACTGTCTCATTAGTTACTTGAATGTTGTTTTCCTTAGTGGAGTCATGTCAACAAATGATTTGTTCTTGCTCATTTATTCCCCTCTAGTTCAGAGACCACTATTGATTTATCCTAACTTAAGTCAATTTACTCCAAAATTTTTCTAGCTGTAATTTGGGAATATTCTTTTTGGTGCACAGAACACGCACCATGAATCACATTTATATGTGTCTTTAATCTTAGACCTTTAAGCACCCATTAGAGTTATTCTTGTTTCTCTCTTGTTTTTGCAACACGCATACACACACACAAATTATTTAATGGGGAAGTAAACTGTAAACTTCCTCTTTGACTAGAATAGGTCATAGAATACTAGTAGATATTGCCACGCAAAGAAAATGTTTTGGGACTTTATAAACTGCAGAAAGGAAAGGAGTATTCACTCCTATTTGAAAGAAATTGAAAACTAACGTTATCCCTTAGGTTGTGTTTCCTAATCAAACTAAGTTACTTTTCTACTCTGTTCAAAATTTCCCAGTTTTTCGGTCTAGATTTTCTGGACTTTATAATAATATACCTTGTTCTTAGGCTGATTTTCTAATTATGTACACAAATTCAATAAAAGTAGCTGTTGCCCATCAAACATAGTCCATATTGTCCTTCACTACTGGATGTCACAAGCTATATGGAGTGGAAACCGGTGCCAAGACAGATATGGTCCATTGTGTTTTCACATTTCCTTCCCATGTGCACATTAAATTATTGCATTCATGTAACAAATATGGGTGGAGTACCTGGTATATGCTAGATAGTAAAAAGACAAAGAAACAACATCCTTACTCTCCAGGCAAATACAACTTCTGAAATTTTCAGTGTAGTTTATTTTATTTTATATCTTAACTTAGTGGTTTTCAAACATTCTTAGCTGGATTACTTTTTTTTTTTTTTTTTTGCAAATCTAATATGCCTGAATATATATGACATCTATAAATGGAAAATCTGAGTTAGCAGCAGGCTCAGTGGAGGGCAGCCCATCTGGAACCCTGACACTGAGCCTCCAAAGCAGATGATGACGCACCTCTGAGGACTGTGGGGCCTCATAAGCTCCTTTAAATCCAGAGACATAGCCACTCTGCTTATATTTTAGGTTAAAAAAAAAAGTGAGTTCGAGGCACTGTATAACTCATGGAGAGCCACCAGCCAGCCAGTGGCATACCCAGAACTATTCATGTCTCCTAACCCTCAGGTTCTGGGTTCTTCCCAGGGAGCCATACCACTCTTACTTTGAGTAACGTTGATACTTTGTCAGAAATATTTCTGTTTGTAAATATTTGCCTTGTAAGGCTTGATGAATTCTTAAGATAGATTTGATTACATCCTAGAAGAAGAAGAAAAGCTTTCAAAATTGCTCATCTCTGATGTTAGACCTTAAGTTGACTTTTAAAAGCCTGGTCTCTTCCATAAAATAAATGAATGAGAAGAGGGTGGTTCATCAGCCCCTCCCAGAGGAAAGGAAAGATTTATTCACCTTCAAATCACTGAAAGGAATTCCTATTACTTTTACCTCTCCTAGAAAGCAGCAATCCTGCATACTTCCAGGAAAATAAATAATGAAATGACAATGTTGTGTGCCCAAGGCTGCTCTCCTTCCCAGACGATTTCTCTTCTATTGCTTTGCCCTTTTGTACTCTTTCCCTACCTTCTCACATCCTCTTTCAATACCTACAGTGAAGTTATCCCACAACCACCCCCACCCTTTTGCCCTCTCCTATGCCTCACTGCTAATAACACATTATTCCCATTGTTAAGAATACAATGGCAGCTGGGACACAGTGGTGAGAACAGGAATAATGCCTCCCACTACATCATTGCTCATTATTGATCATAGCTATGCACATAACTGAACTACTATAAAAATTAATTTGAGCTGTCTTCATCTCTAGCTTTTAATCAAAATAAAGCATTCTTTCTCCCTTCATTAATTAGTATATATTCATAGCCAGGAGTCTAGCAGAATTTTAAAAAGTCAATTCTGATTCTTTATTTAAAATAAAAACATTATTCAATTTTAAAATAAAGAAAGAAAAGAAAAACAATAACTGTTACCCCATGCTATGCTGGTAAAACCTTAAGCCCAACTTCCTGAGGTACATTGCTTTTATATTGTAGATATCAAAATGTTACCCTTACCATTACAGACTGATTAAAAGTGAGATTTTTATGGCATCCCAGCAGGCAGTCTGCTTTTAAAGATTGTTTTTAAATGAAGAGTGAAGAATAATGAATTACAAAGGCAGTTGGAACTATCAAAAAGTGCTTAATTTAAAAGCATTTCCCATAGTTGTGGTTCAAGATGCTAATACCCAGCTTAGATTACAACTTACCTGTATTAAATTTCTTAATCATTGCTATGTATACTGTTCAAAGAGGCCAAAAGAGTGTCTGATAATTGCTTTCTTTTTTGTTTTTAATATACTTTTAATTCCTTGAAACAGCCAATCAAATATATAACAGATTGCTTCAAAATCTGTTGTGTTAGCCCAGACACTGTGGCTCAATGGTTGAGCCTTGACTCCTGAACCAGAAGGTCATGGTTCAATTCCCAGTCAGGGCACATGCCTGGGGTGTGAGCTCAATCCCCAATAGGAGGTGTGCAGGAGGCAACCTATCAATGATTCTCTCTCATCATTGGTGTTTCTATCTTCTTTTCCTCTCCCTTCCTCTCTATGAAATCAATAAAATATGAAATCAATCATATTTTTCAAAGAATCTATAGTGTTAGGTAGCTAATATATTTTGGAAATTTTCCGAACAATATTCAGAAACCATGGACCTTAAAATCCTTGATGTATTAACCCTTATTGCACAGTTATCTGATGTAAGGAATAGCTTCTTGTTTTTTATATTTGCTTAAAATAAGTCATAACATCATTTTTTCATAAAAGTGTTCACTATGTTAATGATTTTGTTTTACAACTGCACACAAAATTTTTCATAATTTTGCTATCCCTGCTGATTTAACATCATATATGTACAAATTAGGCCTCTCTAAATGTTTTTGAATATGGGAAAAGAAGCCATGTTATGTTTACAGTAAAACAATATTAAAACAGACCCAACCTATGTTATGTAAAGTAGCCTTATAATAAAGAAAAAAGAATATCGAGTCATCCAAATGCATTGACAATGCCATAGGACTTTGTTACACATAAGGATATGTCCCAAGACCTTCATCAGTCCCAACTCTGTGAATATACTAAAGCAAATCATTTCCTCCATAAAATTCAATGAGGTATTTAGATGATTACTTCAGACTTTTAATGATTCCATAAATATAAGACTGGAGTCATTTGTAAAACTATTAAAATGAATTCTGCCTCTAAAATAAACTCACCACTACATTACATCCTGTCATTACTGTAGTAATGTAACACAAAATTAACTAAGTTTCTACGTTCTGATAGCTTAAATTGAGCCCTGCCCAGGCAGGTATGGACAAGTGCTTGTGTGGGAGCTGAAATCCACTTGCCAAGCTGAGTACTGCACACAGCTGTAGTTAGCATCAGCCTAACCTTTTTCTAATTCTCACAAAGGCTCTATAGATCCTACTGATGACCCTACTTCTACTAACTCTGGACCAGCCAAGATTGGCAATAAATCATATAGTTAGAGCCCGGATTGTTTTTCCTCATCTACCTGTTAGCACTAACAGCGGTTCTCA